AACTGATATTTTCTCCAATCATTTTGTTTCTTTCTCTTTGTTTCCACGAGAATTTGGTTCCTTGTGAAGTGATATTGTTTCCGTTCGTTCTCACATTTTTATCCTCTTTCTATGTGTTTCTTGTTTCTTATGGCTCTTTCCTCTCCTTCACATAATCATATATGTTTAAGAAACTCACATATTTATCTTTTCTTTTTATCATCTGATATCACTTATAATATCTTTACATAATTTTATTTCTCAATTTTGAGCATTTAAATGTTCTTCATTTAAACAACTTACTACATTTTAGACATTTTTTTCACATGAATTTAAGTTATTAGTAGGAGAAGAGTGTTTTTTAAATATTAAATATTAATATAAATATTAAATAACATTAAGTAACAATTACTTATATATGTGAATATATTTAAATTTAAACAACCCAAAATCGGCTTTTTTTCATAAATAATACTGTTTTCAAAAATATTTTCCAAAATAACACCTCTGCAACTTTATTTACACAACTAGCATTGTTTACTGTTCACGGAATAAAATAATATTATTTTGCGCAACTGTTTACTGTTCACGTATTAAAATAATATTATTTTGCGCAATGAAGTCTCGCTCAAGCGAAGAAACCCTTCGCTTGAGCGAGGAAATCCGTAAGAACGCAGTTATCTCTGGTCAACTCTCGCTGAAGCGACAGATATTTCGCTTGAGCGATAAGTGATTAAAATATGTGGTGACCCAAGTTGCGTTATGTGGCTAACTGCGTTGGATGTTTAGCCAAATAATGCAACTTGGGTCACCACATATTTCAATCACTTTTTCGCTCAAGCGAAATATCCGTCGCTTGAGCGAGAGTTGACCCGAGACTTTAGATAGCGGTTCTAGAACTAACCGCAATTAAAAATATATTTTAGATAGCGGTTAACGTGGAACCACTATTATATGTTCACTTCTAAGAGCGGTTAAAATATTAACCGCTCTTAAAAGTGAGACATATAGTTGGACCGTGGGCAACTATCACTCAAGCGAGACACTCATCGCTTGAGCGAATAAATTGATAATCGATTATAACGTGAAATAATCGATCATAGTTTTAAAAATAATTGACATATAATAGCGGTTCCACGTTAACCGCTATGTAAAATATACTTTTAATAGCGGTTGTTCTAGAACCGCTATCTAAGGTCACTCAAGCGAAAAACACATCGCTTGAGCGAGGACACCTGGAAAAATGGGTGATTCTTGGGTTCTGTCTCGCTCAAGCGACGTTATGAACGCTTGAGCGACAAGTGATTCTAATATGTGGTGAACCAAGTTATATTATTTGGCTACCTGCGTTTGACGTTTCATCATTCGGTCAAAACTCGCTCAAGCGACAAAGTCATCGCTTGAGCGATGAAGCCTTCAAACAAGGGGGGTTCTCGGGTTCTGTCTCGCTCAAGCGACGGGTACTTTCGCTTGAGCGATAAGTGATTGAAATATGTGGTGACCCAAGTTGCATTATGTGGCTAACTGCGTTGGACGTTTAGCTTGGTCAATTTTAGCTCAAGCGAGAAGAATCCAAACATATTTAAAGAGATGTTGACCCACCCACTTTGCTTGGGTTTTGTGTGCGTCAGAAACCATGTGAGGGAGCATTGGATTCAAAGCAATGGACTTCAAAAACACCGCACTGAGGAAAGATGTTGTAAATATGGATAATTCCTTTGCTTCAAATTTGTTACAATTTATTCATTATTTAATTGTTGCTAATAAATATTTATATTAACTATGTTTTTTTAATATTGTTGTAGCGTATGGGATGACTGAACCACGATTCTACTATTATTACAACATCTTGAGGCAATATGACATACAAGCAGCTAATTGGTTGGATGAGATACCTAGAGAAAAATGGGCACTATTGATGCACATATCAGTCATACAACTCAATATAACAAGAATGACCAACCATCAGTCAAGAAATTTTAATCGATTGTTTCTTGTTTTAATCGATTGATATACTGCAAAACTTTCTTATAAAACTTTCCAAGTTATTTTAGCTGATAAAAAGAAGTTTTAATCGATTAAAACTTTGTACCAAATTTTTCCAAGTTGTTTTAATCGATTGAAATGCGTTTTAATCGATTGAAACAGATCTGACCGGTCATAATTAAATTCTGATCGATCATAACCAACTCTGATCGGTCATAACTGCATTCTGATCGATCATTCTGACCCTTTAAGTGATTTTAATCGATTGAAACGTGTTTTAATCGATTGAAATCTGTTCTGATCGCTCATATTTCAAATCTGATCGGTCATAATGGGTTCTACAGGGTTTTGTATTGATTAAAATACTGTAAAAACACTTCTTTGATCATTCTAAGCCACTCCACGTAATTGATGCTTGACAGACCCCACAACCTCAAGCACTTTAACCCTGAGTAACCAACCAACCATCGATCAAGAAATTTTAAATTCTCTTTACATGCTATCATCCCCATATTCACCTTCAATGAATCAATTACGCTTAGCTCCAGGTAAAACAATACAGACACAAGATAATTTCATAAACAGAACAAACTCCCCTTTCAGCAACATCATATAATGCAACCTGGTTCACCTGCAGGTTTTTTCGCTCAAGCGATGAACTTCTCGCTCAAGCTAGAATTGACCATAGCTAAACGTCCAACGCAGTTAGCCACATAATGCAACCTGGGTCACCACATATTTCAATCACTTCTCGCTCAAGCGAAATTACCGTCGCTTGAGCTAGAATTTACCCGAGATTTTAGATAGCGGTTGTAGAATTGACCGCTATTAAAAGTATATTTTACATAGCGGTTAACGTGGAACCGCTATTATATGTGGATTATTTTAAAATTATGATCGATTATTTCACGTTATAATCGCTCTTAGAAGTAACATATAATAGCGGTTCCACGTTAACCGCTATCTAAAATATATTTTTTATAGCGGTTAGTTCTAGAACCGCTATCTAAACCCAAGTTGCATTATTTGGCTAAACGTCCAACGCAGTTAGCCACATAACGCAACTTGGGTCACCACATATTTTAATCACTTATCGCTCAAGCGAAATATCTGTCGCTTGAGCGATAGTTGACCAGAGATAACTGCGTTCTTACGGATTTCCTCGCTCAAGCGAAGGGTTTCTTCGCTTGAGCGAGAGTTCATTGCACGAAATAATATTATTTTAATACGTGAACAGTAAACAGTTGTGCACAATAATATTATTTTATTACGTGAACAGTAAACAGTGTTAGTTGTGTAAATAAAGTTGCAGAGGTGTTATTTTGGAAAATATTTTTGAAAACAGTATTATTTATGAAAAAAAGCCCCCAAAATCAATCACATTTAACACAATAAAAAAAATTTGATATGCAAGCTATACAATATGTCAATATAGCTGAATAACTTCCATTATGAATGTTATTAGGTGTTGATGGACAAATGAGTACTCATTAAACATTTTTCTAAAAATAATAAAGTAAAAAAGTTTTAAGTAATTTTCACAAGTACATCGCAAATAAAGTAAATGCATTAATGCCAATTTCAATTAATATCAATGTTTTTTTTGTCCAAAAAGGTAATGCAAACAATATAACAAGTGCTAAATTTATAATATAATTTCACTTTAGTCAAACTTTAACATTGTTGTTATATAAATTGTTTAACTTTGATCACAAGCGTTGCTTAACAATTTTTCTCATTATAAACAAAATTTCGAAGCCCGTAATCATTTAATAGCATTGGTGGTGTTTATATAAATTGCTTAACGTTGAACAATGCTGCTCAACAAATTTTTTCCAATACAACATATGATTTAGTGTTGCATTTATTAACTTTTGCTGTTATCAATTCTATTTTTTGAGTAACAAAATTTAATGTGACTTATGTTTATCACTCATGTTAGAATTCTTAATAATAAAGTAGATTTTTTTTTTATATAATTTTATAAAATTTATAGGATACTGTAGGACCCACAAATTTGAAATAAACAGCTCATTTAAGAAACCATTAATTGTAGATAATATAATGGATTAATGAAACATTTATGTGGGACCCATTAACTCATGAAATGTTTATAATTGGAAAAAAAAAAAAAAAAAACTCTTAATGGGTTATGTAGGATCCACCAAAAAAATCTTAGCAAATTAATAGTCAACTATACGTTTTAAATGTTCTTAATTTCTATCCTTTTATTTAGGCCTTTGTGACAGTTTTTGCATTAATGAAAAAGAGTGGGAACTTAAGAGAAAAAAAAAAAGAAACTTGTTCAAAAACAACCATTGACAATTTATTTATAATTGGAATTATAAAAGCTCCTCCCCTGTTGCCGTTTTTAAAGGAGTGGAAAGAATTATAAAAATGAAAGAAAAGGCTAACTAAAGAAACTGAAATACTGCACCTCAAAAAAAGAGAGAGAATCTGAAGTTCAATCTCTCGGGATGAGAGAGCTAGCTAAGGAATAAATGAATAAATAAATAATAGAATTGTGTAGTACATTGACAAATAAAATAAAATAGGTAATACAAATTGTAGAATTGGAAGTATGAAACTAGTTATAGACAGTGATTCATAGCAAGAAATGTGATTGATTAAGCATGTACAGGTTGTTGGCATTTTTCATGGTTAGTTAAACAGGTGCATGAAACCATGAAAGCCTTTCACTATAATTGTTTGTTTTCTATCTTTTTGTTCTCTCCATAACACTATATAAAGTAAACTTGAGATGATATATTATCAACATAACTAAAAGTTTTAAGCTCAAATATCCTTGGGAGAGTCCTGTAGAAGATTTTGAACAATTTGGAGACAGAGAGCACATGACTTTATTCAGTCACTAACTGATGAACATGAGAATTACTTTGGTAAGAAAAAGGAATGTACAAAAATTGGTGAAGAGACAGAATTTCTGACTAATTTTAACTTTAAACAACTTAAAGTTCTTGAGACAGATGCAGAATATACGATGTGATGTACCTTGAGAGAGGTCTCAATAGACATTATGCAGTGTGTGTGATATTAACAACCCTGTTTAGTCTCTCAAGAATTCCACTAGCTTTCCTCTTTGCCCTTGATGTTCCACTCTGTGCTAGCTCAGAGATTGTTTTGTGGCTGTTCTCCTCTTCCCTTATTTCCTTCAACTTTGATCTATCATAGAAACAAATTGTTTGAAGGATTGCTACACAATTCTCCTTGTTGCGTTCACATGAACTCTCCCTGATAATTCTTAGCAGGCTAGGCACAGCTCCAAGGTCTCCCATGTCATGAACAGCCCTCTGGTGACTTGAAAGAAGTGCAAGGATGGCTAGTAATTCATCAACATGAACCTGATTCTTTATCTTTGTCAAAATCACTCTCACTGCACCGTCCTTCACGGCTCTTGCCTTGTTCTCATGCATTACACATATGTTAAAAAGTGCTGAAGCAACATCCTTCATTGCTAAGGGATGCCCTTCTTCCAAAAGATCGATCAATGGCTTTAAGGCACCTGATTTTCCTATGATTTCCTTGTTTGAGTCAAGAGCTGACAAAGTGAAAAGGGCAGCAGCAGCATTGCTTCTTGTTTCAATTGTTCCAGATCTCAATGCTCTCATAAGGAGAGGAATTACCATGGGAGTTTCAGCCACTAGCTTTTTATTATTATCATGAATAGAGATATTGAGGAGTGTTGTGACTACATCTTCTTGGAGATCAGGGTGTATACTACTGAACGAATCACTCCCACAAATTGGCTTGAGCAACTGGGGAATGGCATCTGCAGAATCGCAGAAAAGTACCCGGAAACAAGGATGCTTCTTTGTCAACATCCGCAGTTCTTTTGCAGCTATCTTCTGATCAGAAAGTGTTGATGACATTTTCTTAAGCAAACAAAGAAAATGCTCACGGTCTGCTTCGTTTAAACCTTCCTCATCAATGTATTGAACAGTATTTGACAATTCAACCCCCTGGTTTTTTGACCATTGTTCTATCATTTCCCTTATTAGATGATTTGGTGTAAGAACAGTGTGTGAAAAGACTTCATGCGTTCGAGGGCAAGTCCTGTTTCCAGCATTTAGCCATTTCTGAATGAAAGATCTATCATATGTCTGCATAATCGAAACCAAGAGATGCTACATATTAACAACCAAAACAGGGAAACAAAATGAATCATCGTTCATAATTAGACAAGGAAAATATCTGCACAATCTCCATTTTTTTTTCAAGCCAGCACTGATTCGCTCAACACCAATCAGAACTATCATTGCACAGAAAAAGGCTTAGGACAGAAAGATAAAAAAAGGTAGTTGGGGTGGTGGAAGACATCACTGTAGTAATTTAGAAAAAGAAAAAGGCCAAGGACACTAGAATTTAATTATTCCCTTTTGAGAAAACCAGTCAAAAGTTCTACACAAAGATACAATCACCACCGCCACTCACACAATAATCACATTTATGGACAGAGAATATAATTCTTTTTTCACCTCCCACTCCTTCTCTTTCCATCCACAATGGCTATCATAGGTACATCATCAAATTTCCCTTTTTCTTTTTATTTTTCCTCTTTATGTTTCTTGAATTGTACACTTGAAACATAAATGCAGTAAAGCTAACTACATAACTAAAGGGAAGATCACAGAAATTCAGCAAATCAAACAAAAAGTTCTCGGCATTGCACTTCCACTGAGAGCAAATGTAAAAGCTATTTAAAAGTAAAAGGCAGCAAGTCTGAACAACAAAATGTGAAAGAGTTAAACTGTTTGGATTGAAAGAAATCAAGAAGAAAAAAACAGAGCAAAACACAACTCCAAATGTTGAAACGATTTACCATAACATTAATTAACATAGACAATATGAACTACATTATTAACTTCATTAAATAAAAGAAAAAAAAGAATATCTCTAAGGTTCTGCACTGGACTGGGAAAGAACTGAATATATTCCTTTCTATCTTTCCCCTACCTTTTTAGTCACTTAACGTAAAATAAAGCACAGAAATTCCAGCCAAAGAGAGATGAACAAAAGGCCAAAACCAGAACCTATATATTCACCTTAGTTACATTTATTCGAAAAGAAATGAAATTAAAAAAAAAACATTTTTTATAAGAACTTTCTACCCCCAGATATTTATTAAATTCATAACACCCCAATTTTATCTTGTTTTTCCTTCTGCTTCCAGCATTTCCTCAGAAACCACAAACACAGCAAATTGTTGTTGTCGTTGTTATTATTACTCTTTACAATCAATCCTTCTAATATTTTATAAAAAAGAGTAGTAAATGAAAAAAGTAAATACGTTTAATGTCTTAAACAAAGCATGTCATTGTTTTGTTTATCGGCTAAAAAAACTAAATGTTGGAAGATTCAGAATTCTTATTCTACATTTCAAATTCTGACACTAACCTGACCAGAAGCCACAATGACAGGATCTCTCATCAATTCATTGGAAAGAGGACACTTAAATTCATCAGGGCAAGATGTCACACTCCTCTTGTGCAGCTTCAAAGACAGTGAAGACCTCTTTCTTAGTTTCAACTCTTTGAGAACACAGAGAGTCTCTTTTGCCTGATCAATGGTCTCAGTGCTGCAATCCTCATCATCTACAATGGACTTCACCAACCTCTGAAGCTCCCTCTTCAGCTCTATGGCCTTCTTCACCATCTCCCCTGGATCAGTGTCCAACACTCCTGGCTTGGCCATGACGATGATGATCCCAATGGATCAGACCCCAAAAAGCCTACAACTTTACAACAACCCACAAATTTTTTTATGTCTAAAATTGAAAATTTGGTTCAGAGAATGGAGAAGCTGAGAATACCAGTGCTTCACCACCCTATTTTCATCTTCTCTTCTCTCTTGCTCTCTCTTTTACGTATTACTCCTCTTTCTAAATGAAAGGAAATTTGTGTGAGTGAGTGAGTCTCTCTCTCTCTCTCTCTCACTGTGTGCGTGTTTGGGTGCTTTAATTATTCTGCTGGCTTCTACACTTAGTAACATTTAACTGTGGAGAGGAAAACAAGGACATTACCATAAAGACACAGACTCATAACTTCACCTTAGTTTTTCTTTCTCTCACTAGACTTTATTCTCCTTATATAATACTAATATCTCACTTCCTTGGTTTGGGCATTGGCATAATTCATCCGCAAGTTATTCACCCAAAAATTTGAGACCATGAGAGAGAAAAAAGTGGTAATATTCTCCTAGTCTTATCCCCCAAGTTTCACATTGGCTTTTTCTTTGATTTTACCAATTTACCACTTCAATCGATCATGTGTTGTGTATATATATATATATATATATGATGTGTAATTTGGTTTTGGTCTCTTGAAAACTTTACTTGTATTATTTGGCCGTCGAGATTATTCTATTTTATGCAAATTGACTCTCCAAATTATTATTTTACCATGAAATTCACCTTTGGCAATTATGAATTTTCTCTTCTGTCTGGAAAGTTGGTTTATATAAACAAGAAGTTTTAAGGATTAAAATAACACAAATAGTTTTTTTTTTTCTCAATAGAAATTATAATATTGCAAATTAACGATAGGTTGTCTTAGTTTAATCAAATACTAAAAAGAAAGTATGTTTTGAAGAATTCAGTTTACCCATTCTTACAAATCACACACATAATTTTAATACTGTTATTTTTTCTTAAAAATATCAGTCTTCTTTTAACATTTTCTTTGTTCACTGTACAAATTTTAAAATTTCATATTATATTTAAACTGACATTTTTATATAATAAAAATATATTTGTTGGACCATCATACTTTAATTCTCCAGGAAAAAAAAGTTATTTTATATATATGTCATCTTAAAGTTTGACTCCATAAAATTTAATGTCATATTTAAGTTTTAACTGCTGATCTGTCAATATAATAAATGGAGTGTAGTTAATAGAGTTGGACTTTTTATAAACATTTGAGCTGTGTGATGCGTTACTTTGAATCATGGTAAATAAAATAACTATTGATTTATGTTTATGGATTCCAGTAATACTCTTATGTGTAGGTTATTAGTTGTTGTTTTTTAATAATTTTATTGACTCTTCATTTCATAATAAATATATATATTTATATTTCTTATATACTAGTTTATATAAATTCTATATCATTAAATTATTCATTGACTATTTTAATGTTTTATCTGTTACAAAAGGTTGATTTAGGAATGATAGCTGAATTTCAAATAAAACTGAAAAAACACGAACATTTAATCAGAAAGTATGGTTTTGAATTTGGATAAAATAAGTTTAGTCTTAGGATGAGTAGAAGGTATGGTGTGGGTAACATACAGTGTTTGTTGAAAGATATTGGCGTTAATGAAAGTTGATGAGCATGCATGGCTGTCAGGGAAAAGTGTACACCCTGCATAATACCAACAAAAGTTGAATTTACAAAATTTCGTTTTAAAAAAAATAGTAATAATATTACAACAATACATAAATTAGCGTATGATTAATGAGATGGAAGTGTGTAGTGTAGCCAGACTGAGGGCATAGGTGGGTCCCGCATGCTCCATCCTGCACGCAATCACGGACTCCACGGCCCTCACAGCTGGCACGCCGCGTGGGTAAAACTTCCTTTCTACTCGTCTCCGCCACGGGGCCTCATCTCCTGCACCCGCTACTACAATCAAATGCTGTACCCCTCTTGCCTACGGAATCCAACGCCCACTTTTCCTTGCACTTCTATTCTCCTCGCACCGCTGCTTTTATTGTACTGCATTCACACGTGGCGGAGTTATTGCCTTTGTACACGTCAGTTGCTGGATCAGGACACGTGTCTATCTCCGTGTCATTCTCCGACAACAATCCTGGGCAACGGGAACAGGTGCTTCCATCAGTAATATTAATGGTTCAAAGTAATATAAGATTTGAACCAACTTATTCAATTTAAAAAATTTAAATTCTTTTATTGATTCAGTTTTTAACCCGGTGGCATAACTAAACAAACTTGTAAAAGATAAAGTGATAATGATAGAATTGTGGCAAAGAGGTGCAGGTGGCTTCAATCTCACTGGCACATGCCTTTCACTCCTGACCCTTCAGATCTATTTTTACATTTATATTATATATAATATTTTTCTTTTTTTTTATAATTGTTTTTATAAATTGATTCTCTTTTTTATAATATTTTTATTATTAAAGAAAAAAATATTTTACTTATAATATAGTATAATTTTCACATTTAAAAAATAAGTAGAAAGAAGAGAAAAAAAGAGAAGAATTTGTGTACATCTAAAAGAATGGAGTGAAAAATAAAATAATTTTTTTTTAAAATACATTAATAATATATAAAATTTGGACATACAAGTTGAATGTTTCCAATAGTTATAGAAGATTTGTTTTTAATAACTTTTTTCACCGCTTATAGTTATATTTATGATATGTTATTGATAAAGAAGAAATAGATAATATAAGAAAATTAGTATTATAATATTATGTATTTAAAGAGAAAAGAAAAATGTGAGAAGAGTAAAAGAAATAACGTGGTATAAAAATGAAGGAAGAAAATATGATATATATTTAAAAATATAAAATAAAATTTAAAAATCTCATGTGCTAATAATAATAACAATAATAATCTCATGATTAAAGTTATAGAATGTATACAGGCAATATCATAATTCAATCCAAATTCCTTTTATGTGCGCATAAGAACACGAGTCGACCACAATTTGTATCATTGCCAAGAGAATGAACCTCAAAATTTGTTTTGATCGGAGTCATATGCAACATCGAGACTGAGATTTATTTATGGTAACATGTGATGCTGAGTTTAAAAGTTGAAGAAAATTTCAAGTTCTGAAGTAGATTTAAGGGCAACGGGTGATGGTGGATGAAGGTGTATGAAATGGAAGGACCACTTATTTTTGTATCCTAAGATGAAGAGAAGGTGCTTATTAGGACCCTTCTTCAATGGTGGGGCACAAACATTGAAAGCCATGTCTCTCTCCTCCACTGCTCTCAAAGTTGGATAAGTTTGAAAAAAAGAATTCAATGGAGTCATGAAATTTGAGTTTTTGGAAGACAAAAAGAGCCAGAAATAAAGTCAATCATACTGTTCAAATGATGTCACAATTCCACCCACCAAAATTACTTTACCCTTAATTTTTTGTTATTCTATTCACAAAATTTACCTTTTTGTTTCTTTTTCTATCAAATCAAATCTATGAAAGACGTTCTAACAAATTGTGCCCTTTTATTTTGTCGGCAAGGTGTAGTGGTGGTCATAAACGATCTATGATGATACACATAAGGCTCCAAAACATCATAATTTGTTCTACAAAATTTAAATATTTTGGATAAAACATGCAAAAACAAAACCATTTGCTAAACATTTCAAATCAAAATGTTTACAACAGGTGAAATCAACCTCTTTATTGACTGTCGAATCAATCAGATAAATTGATTATTAAAATAATTAATCTTAAACTTTTAACTTTTATCTACTTATCTATTTTATTCGTTTGCCTTGAAAAAAACTTAATTGATCCGTTAACATATTTGCAAGGGAATAACTAGATTTGCTTTATAATATTATTTTAACATTACTTTTTAAGAAAATAAACCCATAATCTTGATAATAATTTAGAGCACTTGAATCTAGTAATAAGTTTCTCGTCATTTTTAAAGTATCTTTAAAAATAAAATAAAATAAAATTTAAAAATGAAGAAAATTTTCAATATATTTCAACCATCAAAATCGTGATATTAGTGTTCATATAAAGGTTAAAGAGTGCAAATCTAAGAATAGTTTTACCCTATTGTATTCAATCTTTTCGTGGATGTATTGAAAAGTGAAACATGAAGTATATTATGGTGCACACTATAATGAAAGGATAAATTTATGTACTCAAAATCTTTCTTTTTATATTCAAGGTATGGTGAAACAAATTCAATTATCTGGGTGTACATTTCATGCTAAGTTCAATATATTCTAAATTTTCTAAAATTTTATAATATAACGTAAGTCAATTGTCTCAAGAATACGTATCAATTGTATTAATTTTTTATTTTTATTCTCATGTTTCATTTATTTTCATACTCTCATTTTCTCAAATATTTACCATACAAGTTAAAGTGGGGAGGGGTGTTTATGGATTCAAATGTAAAAACAATTAAAATTTAAACCAAAACCAAAATCAAATTCAAGAATTGAAAAGAGTAAACCCAATTCGATTGAAAAGAGGAGACATACAATGATTAAAACACAATAATTAAAATTAAAAAACATAAGAATTAAAAACGCAATTGAAATGTAAAAATACAAAATTGTGAATTCAATTGAAATGTTAAAATATAGAATTGTAAATACAAGAAATTAAATTGATGGAAAAATAAAATTAAAACATCAATCCACAAAAAAAAAAAAAAAATATATATATATATATATATATATATATATATATGCAATTCTAAAATATACTAAAACAAATCATAATTATAACATAATAAGAGTATGCAATTCTAAATATTAGAAAAATATGAACAAATTTAGAACTTGTCAATCAATATTTATACAACTTAATTTCACAATTCATATAATCTTTAATTTGTTTATTGAATAATAATTTAGCCCTCCATTTATACAAATATAAGAAGATAAAAAGACAAAAGGAAAACAGAAGAGGAAAGAGAAAAAAGAAAGAATAAAAAATGATAAAATGTAAATTAAATTAAAGTGTAATTTTGA